TATAAATAATGGGTGTACAGCTCAAGTTTTATAAAAAGAACACTTACGTTACTGGCATCCAGATCAAAAAGTAGAACATTATCTGCACCCCAGCAGCCTCCCTTGAGTCCCATTTCAGTCACTAACCATCCATCTCCCAAGTGTAAGCGCTCTCCTAACTTATATAACTATAGATTAGTTTTATCTGTTTTTGAAATTTATATAAATAAAATCATACACTATGCATTTTTATATGTCTGCTTCGTTCAGCACTATGTTTGTGAGATTCATCCATGTTGGTACATGTAGTTGTAGTTCGTTCATTCTCATTACTGTATAGTATTCTACTGTATGATGTATGACAACTTATTCAATCTATAATTGATAAATATGTGGGTTATTTCTAGTTTGGGGTTATTACAAATTGTGCTATTATGAACACTCTCGAACATGTCTTTTGGTGAACATATGTACACATTCTGTTGGTTATATACCCAAGAGTAAAATTGCCAGGTCATAGGTTATACATATAATCAGCTTTAGCAGATAATGGAGCTTATGTTTTAAACAAAGAATAAGGAAAAGAGAGATGTAACGGAAGTGGAATTCATATCTCATACCATATATAAAAACTAACTAAAAATGAATCAAGGACCTAAATGTAAGAACTAAAGCCATAAAACTCTTGGAAGACAACATAGGGGTATTGCTTTGGGACATAGTTTTTAACAGTGAATTCTTGGATACAACACCAAAAGCATGAGCAACAAAAGACAAAGTAGATAAATCGTACTTCATCAAAATTTAAAACTTTTGTTCAACAAAGGACTTTAACAACAAAGTGAAGAGACAACCTACAGACTGGGAGAGAATTTTGGAGACCCATATATTGGATCTGTACACAGATCAAGAGGCAGTTATTTGGACAGAACAAGGGGATACTGCATGGTTTAAAGTCAGGAAAGATGTGTGTCAGGGTTGCATCCTTTCACCATACCTATTCAATCTGTATGCTGAGCAAATAATCCAAGAAGCTGGACTATATGAAGAAGAAAGGGGCATCAGGATTGGAGGAAGACTCATTAACAACCTGCGATATGCAGACGACACAACCTTGCTTGCTGAAAGTGAAGAGGACTTGAAGAACTTACTGGTGAAGATCAAAGACCATAGCCTTCAGTATGGATTACACCTCAACATAAAGAAAACAAAAATCCTCATAACTGGACCAATAAGCAACATCATGATAAACGGAGAAAAGATTGAAGTTGTCAAGGGTTTCATTTTACTTGGATCCACAATCAACACCCATATAAGCAGCAGTCAGGAAATCAAAAGACGCTTTGCATCAGGCAAATCTGCTGCAAATGACCTCTTTAAAGTGTTGAAAAGCAAAGATGTCATCTTGAAGATTAAGGCGCGCCTGACCCAAGCCATGGTATTTTCAATTGCATCATATACATGCGAAAGCTGAACAATGAATAAAGAAGACAGAAGAAAAATTGACACCTTTGAATTGTGATGTTGGCATAGAATATTGAATATACCGTAGACTGCCAAAAGAACAAACAAATCTGTCTTGGAAGAAGTACAAACAGAATGCTCCTTAGAAGCAAGGATGGCGAGACTACATCTTACATATTTTGGACATGTTGTCAGGAGGGATCAGTCCCTGGAGAAGGACATCATGCTTGGTAAAGTACAGGGTCAGTGAAAAAGAGGAAGACCCTCAGTGAGATGGATTGACACAGTGGCTGCAACAATGGGCTCAACCAGAACGATTGTGAACATGGCGCAGGACCGGGCAGTGCTTTGTTCTGTGGTGCATAGGGTCGCTATGAGTCCGAACTGACTTGACATGTATTATTTCATAGAATCACAAACAGCCCTGAGAAGTAGAATCCATTATTATTCCCATTTTATAGAGGAGAAAATTGAAATTTAAAAACGTTAAGTAACATGTTGTTGTTGTTAGGTGCCGTTGAGTCGGTTTTGACTCATCGTGACCCTATGTACAACAGAATGAAACACTGTCTGGTCCTGTGCCATCCTCACAACTATGTTTGAGCCCCTTGTTGTAGCCACTGTGTCAATTCAACTCACTGAGGCTTTTCCTCTTTTTCGCTGACCCTCTACTTTGGGAGAATTACCCTCTACTTTTGGGAGAATTACCATATGACCCAGCAAGGTATAGATTCAAATGAACTGAAAACAGGGACTCAAACAAACACTTGTGCATGAATGTTAATAGCAGTATTATTCACAACAGCCAAAAGGTAAAAATAACCTAAATGCCCATCAGCAAATAAATGTATAAACAAAATGTGGTACATATATACAAAGGAATATTATTCCACCATAAAAAGGAATGAAGTTCTAATACATGCTACAACGTGGATGAACCTTCAAAACATTATGCTGAGTGAAATAAGCCAGCCACAAAAGGACAAATATAGTATGATTCCATTTACATAAAATATATAACCTATAACCCGTTGCCATCGAGTCGATTCCGACTCATAGTGACCCTATAGGACAGAGTAGAACTGCCCCATAGAGTTTCCAAGGAGCACCTGGTGGATTTGAACTGCTGACCTTTTGGTTAGCAGACTTAGCTGTTAACCACTACACCACCAGGGTTTCCATATAAAATATATAGAATAGGTAAATTCATAGGGATAGAACATAGAGGTTATGAGAAGCTGGGGTGAGGGAAAGTCGGGAGCTACTACTTAATGAGGACAGAGTTTCTGTTTGGGATGATGAAAAGTTTTGGAAATAGTCGTAATGGTTGAACCCACCACTCGTATGCTGAGCAAATAATCCAAGAACCTGGACTATATGAAGAAGAATGTGGCATCAGGATTGGAGGAAGTCTCACTAACAACCTGCGATATGCAGATGACACAATCTTGCTTGCTGAAAGTGAAGAAGACTTGAAGCACTTAACTGATAAAGATCAACAACTATAGCCTTCAGTATGGATTACACCCCAACATAAGGAAAACAAAAATCCTCATGACTGGACCAATAAGCAGCATCATGATAAACGAAGAAAAGGTTGAAGTTGTAAAGAATTTCATTTTACTTGGATCCATAATCAATGCCCATGGAAGCAGCAGTCAAGAAATCAAACAATGGTTAGTAGTGTCTGGAGTCTTAAAAGCTTGTAAGCGGTCATCTAAGATACTCCACTGGTCTCACTCCACTGGGAACAAGGGAGAATGAAGAAAACCAAAGACACAAGGGAAAGATTAGTCCAAAGGACTAATGGACCACAACTACAACAGCCTCCACCAGATTGAGTCCAGCACAACTAGATGGTGCCTGGGTACCACCACTGACTTCTCTGACAGGGATCACAGTAGAAGGTCCCAGGCAGAGCTGGAGAAAAAATGTAGAACAAAATTCTAACTCACAAAAAAAGACTCTGGCCTGACAGAGACTGCAGAAATACTGAGACACTCTTTCAGCGCAGTAATGACGTCACTCCTGAGATTTACCCTTTAGCCAAAGATTAGACAGGTCCATAAAACAAAAGGAGACTAAAGGGGCACACCAGCCCAGGGGCAAGGACTAGAAGGCAGGAGGGGACAGGAAAGCTCGTAATAGGGAACCCAAGGTGGAGAAGGGAGAGTGTTGACAAGTTGTGGGGTTGGTAATCAATGTCACAAAACAATATGTATACTAATTGTTTAATGAGAAACTATTTGTTCTGTAAACCTTCATCTAAAGTATAATAATAAAAAAGAAAAGAAATCAAACAATGCATTGCATTGGGCAAATCTGCTGCAAAAGACATCTTTAAACTGTTAAAAAGCAAAGATGTCACTTTGAGGACTAAGGTGCACCTGACCCAAGCCATAGTATTTTCAATTGACACATATGCATATTAAAGCTGGACAATGAATAAGGAAGACCAAAGAAGAATTGATGCCTTTGAATTATGGTGTTGCTGAGGAATATTGACTATACCATGGACTGCCTGAAGAATGAACAAACACGTCTTGGAAGAAGTACAGCCAGAATGCCCCTTAGAAGGGAGGATGGTATTACTTCTTATGTACTTTGGACATGTTATCAGGAGGGACCAGTGCCTGGAGAAAGACATTATGCTTGGTAAAGTAGAGGATCAGTGAAAAAGAGGAAGACCCGCAACGAGATGGATTGACACAGTGGCTGCAACAATGGGCTCAAGCGTAACAACGATTGTGAGGATGCCACAGGACCAGGTAGCGTCTTGTTCTGTTGTACATAAGGTCACTATGAGTCAGAACCAACTTGACGGCACCTACCAACAACAACAATATTTTAAACTAATAAAAAAAAAAAGTTTTTTTTGAAAGATTAAGAAATCCACCCACGGCCATATAGCCAGAAAGTGGCCAAGCTAAAATTTGAACCCAAACAACCTATCTGACTGCAGGGCCCATGCTCTCAGTCCCTGGGCTTCACTGTCTCTGGAAAGAGCAGCAAAACAGGGGTTAGGACACCTGGATTCTTGCTGTCACTATCTTGTGTGGCCTTATACAAATCTGACCTTTCAAGGCCTCACTTTCCTCAGCTGTGAAATGACATAACTAGATATCTTCCACAGTTCCTGCTGGTTGTAACCCTTCTGACTCTTATCATCTGTGCTTTGATTTTGATTTTAAAATGTGGAAAATCCCAAGACTTGATTCATGACTCAGGTACCATTTGCTTCTGACACACTCTGGGGATATCCATGGACAGAGCGCTCCAGAGAGGACCAGCTATCCTCTCATGGCCCAACCCCTCCCTCTGGGGTTTGCCATGAAATTGAGCCAGCCTTTGAGGAGGCTCCACTCCCCGTTCCTCTCTCCATTCTGGAAGAGGGCTCAGGCCTGGCTCTGTTCCAGGATAAATTTCTGCAATGCAAGAGATAGCACAAAGTCAAGGTGAAGGGCAGATAAATCCTTAAAAAGGCCCCCTTGTGTCCCAGTGTAGCGGCAACTCTTCACCCCACAGCTGTCCATCCTGCCCACCCACACCCAGCCACCATGTGGGAGCTCTTGGCTGTCTTGCTGCTCACCCTAGCTTATTACTTTTGGCCCAAGATAAGGCGCCCTGGTGCCAAGTACCCCAAAAGCCTCCCATTCCTGCCCCTGGTGGGCAGCCTGCCTTTCCTCCCTAGACACGGGCATCCTCATGTCAACTTCTTCAAGATGCAGGAAAAATATGGCCCCATCTATTCCTTTCGCCTGGGTACCGAACCCGCAGTGGTTGTCGGCCACCACCAGCTGGCCAGGGAGGTGCTCATCAAGAAAGGAAGAGAATTCTCCGGGAGACCCCATGTGGTAAGCAGTGCCCATCCCACCTTCTCCCTGACCACCCTTTGGGGTTGTTCAGTTCTTCAGGGAAGACTATGGCTGGAATGACCTTTTCAGTTCCAACAACCTGTAATTCTTCCAAAGACAGACCGGCAGGGGGATAGGAGGGGAATGGCCTTTCAGACCTCATCCAGCCTATAAACTGGGCAGGAAGAATTAAAGGAGGCTTCCTTTTCCAGGCTGCTCAGGAGGAGGGGTGGGGTGGACAGTGGCCTGAGGGGGTCAGGAAGTCCTCATTCTAGTCAACTCTCCCCTGAACTTGATGATAATCTTTCTGGGCCTAGACTTCCCTAATTAAATGGATTATGTATTTATAACCCTTAGCCCAGTGCCCGGCTCAGTATATGCTCAATAAACAGCTATTATTAATGTTACTGCTTGTCTGGGAATTGGGTTAGTTATTACTGTCCATGGGAAGGTGCTAGGAGAAGTAGCCTGGCTCTAGGAGGGCTGGGATTGCTGTTTCCCTAGAGCTCATTGTGGGGCTGATCCGTGGTAGCATTTCAAGGATGCTGATGGTCCTGCTGAACTGGCTGTGGTGATTCTGGGGAGGGCACTCACCACACAGAAACACTGCCAGCACTCAGCTGTTGACTGCACCCCTAAACACCAAGGCAGGCCCCCAGCCAGCCTCTCAGTTTTGACCTAGCCAAGGGTTGACACATTTTTCTGTGGACCAGTCGTTCAGGTCTGCTGACCAACAACCTTGCTCTCACCTCTACTGAGCCCTTCTCTCCAGGGCAGAGAGGATGGAGGTGGCTAGTCATAGGAGGCTTGGGGGTCAAGGGATGGAAGAGGGGAGGCTTTGGACCCTCGTGCTTTTTGGGGTGCTTTTGGGAGGAGGTGGCTCGGTCCAAGCCCAGACTGAGTAAACAAGACACTCACACATGTGGCCTTTCAAGTGGACAGGTAAACAAAAAGGAGGTGAGATGTGCCTTTAGCACCCCCAGGGGCCAGGGAAAGGCAGAGGTCTGGGCAGTCCTCAATCTCTGCAAGCTGGCCTGCCCCCTGCCCTCAGGACAAGCACAATTCAGAGAGTTTACCCCATTCACAGCTGCCCTCCCCTGATCAGAAACTGATGAAAAAAGAGAGGCCCAGAGATCACACTGTCAGTGAACTGAACGCCAGTACTCCTGTATTCTAATTCAGCGTTCTTCCCTTCTCCTCACTGTACTATCTCTCTGATGGAACTGAGAGTAGGGGAGTCAGGCCCTGCCCTATCAAAACCTTACAGTCATGGTGGAGCAGAGCAGGGATGTTCCCATGTGAGGGTCAGCATAGCAGTTACCTGCCTTCTCTCCCAGGAAGGGGAAGAGGTGCAGGAGGCCCAGGGCAAGGGCAAGGTCAGTGGTGTCTGATTCCTACATCCTTGCCTGTTCTCCAAAGACAACTCTGGCCATCCTGTCAGACAACCAAAAGGGCATTGCCTTCGCCGACAGTGGTCCCCACTGGCAGCTACATAGGAAGCTGGTGCAGGCTGCCTTTGCCCTGTTCAGGGATGGCCACCAGAGGCTAGAGAAGATCAGTGAGTACCTGGCTAGCCCCTGGGGCTGGGCCTGGATCCTACAGGGACTGCTGTTTCTCTTGAGGGTGGGGGAAATGTGGATTAGGGAGGGGAAGAGGGTTATGGGTGGGTCTGTCCTGTATTTTCTTGGCCACGACTGCCATCTTGTGGCCATCTGTTATCTGTTCCCTGCCTTGGTTAATATGCCCCTCTCTCCCCTCAGTACTTCAGGAAATCAGCTTATTATGTGATTTCCTGGCCACCCAGAATGGACAGTCCATAGATTTGGAATCCCCTGTCTTCCTGGCGGTGACCAACATGATCGCCATGTTCTGCTTCAACTCCTCCTACAAGTATGATGATCCTGACCTGAAGATCATACAAAGTTATAACAAAAGCATCCTGGAGAGTCTGGGCACGGGTGGTCTGGTGGACGTCTTCCCCTGGCTGAAGGTGAGGATGAGGCCAGACCCACCTTCACATTCCAGCAGACCCTGACAGTGTCCCCAATTCTTCCTTCTTCCTACTGCCCAGCTCCAGACCCATCTTTTTCCTGATCACCTCAGCCAGTGACCTCTACCTCCTCTGACCTTTGCCACTTCTCTACATAAGTAGATCTAGCTTTTTAATCATGCATTTTAATATTCACAATAATGTATTTCATTCATCTAGCAATTACCCTCTGCCAGTATTAAGGACTCTACATACACTAATCATTGAATTCACCTGGGAGGTGGGTTTTATTATCCCCATTGTGCAGATGAGAAAACTGGCTCAGTGATGTTGAGGAATTTGCCTGAGCAGAGTCTACTGAGAGGACCCACTATCAGTGCTTGATGTTTGATTGAATGGGGAAAGAGAAGTGGAGCCCACTCTCTCCTCCCTTGTTTGGAGTTTTCCTATTGGGCATTAATCCCATTCTGTGTTCCCATCTTGCCTTCCATCTTGGCTGAAGGTTGGGATTGGAGTGGGAACTCTCTAGAGACAGAAAGCTAGGATCTGCCTCCAGGAGGGATTCTGGTAGTTGGAGAAGCAAACTGGCAGAGGGATGGACTGGACATTTCTTTTTGCTCCCCAGGTTTTCCCCAACAAATCCTTGGAAATGATGAAGAATGCTGTTAAAGTACGAAATGATCTGCTGAAAAAAATCCTAAAAAAATACAAGGTAAGTGATGGAGCAGAAGGGAGTGAATTAGATTGAAAGTGCCACGAGAGCAGGGTTGGGGTCCATTTTGGACACTGGAGGGTCTCCAGTACCTAGCAGAGGCCCAAACCTGGCACATAGCAGGTACTCAGCAAAAACTGAATTAATGAATGGGGATGGGAAAGTGAGGAAATGAAGAGGATCTTAGAAGGGACTCACCTGCCCATCAAATTTAAAGAGGGCCCCGTGCTGCCTCCTACCTCCACAAGCTCATAGGTCTCACCCAGCCCCGTCTACTCCCTCATTTCAAAGGTAGAAGAGGCCTTTGTATGTCCACTGTGAGATGGAAGTACAGTGGGAGTGTTGCAGATGAGACTCTTTCCTTATCACTGTCTCCCAATTTCACCTAACCCAGGAGAAATTCAGCAGTGACTGTATCACTAACCTGCTGGACATACTGATCCAAGCCAAGATGAACTCAGACAATAACAATGATGGCCCAGAACAGGATTCAAAGCTACTTTCGGAAGAACACATTCTTACCACTATCGGGGACATCTTCGGGGCTGGTGTGGAGACCACTACCTCTGTAATGAAGTGGACTATAGCCTTCCTGCTGCATAATCCTCAGGTGGGCTTCTTCCCATTCCTGTTTTCCCATTCATCCTTGACCCCAACCAGCCCTACCTCTGGGTTCCAGAGACAGGGAGCGGCAATACCCAATAGCTCAGGCTTTCTGTGCTGGAGGACTGGGCTGCCCTGGCCCTCACCCAAGCAGTGGCTGGCTCTCGCCCCAGGGTGGAGCTGCCTCATCTTTTGGAAGTAGGGCCTGGGATGCAAAGCCACCAGTGGGAAGAGTCTTGGACAGGCTCTTCTGGATGTGACAACAGGATTCTTCCTAGCCTTAAGCATGCTGGTCATATCCACCCTGCTCTGGCCCTCAGTTGAAGAAGAAGATCCAGGAGGAGATTGACCAGAACATAGGTTTTAGTCGCACACCAACTATCAGTGACCGGAACCACCTTGTCCTGCTGGAGGCCACCATCCGAGAGGTGCTTCGCATCCGACCTGTAGCCCCCCTCCTCATCCCCCATAAGGCTACCACTGACTCCAGGTATGCCTTCCTTCCCAATGACATCCAGCCCTATGATGCGTCCAACACTGCTTGTTTGTCCATCAGCCCCCAGCCTGCTGGTAAACCTATAATTCAACCACTACCAATCACCCCACCCATATCCCTACTAATCTACTAATCACTGTACCCACCACCCACTGCCACTACTTCACAGCTCCAGCTGACCTCCCTCAGAGGCTGGCTGCAACCCTGGAGCCGGAACCGTGCTCTGGGATGAAAGACTGGGGCACTCTATCCTCCTACCCAGGCCAGTAGCTGTAGCACATAACGTATATGCCCCAGCTCAACATGCACACCCACATGCCCTGACATAACCGTCCATGTACCCAAGTGTTAATACATAAATGCTTTGTCAGGAGGATAGGGATGGAGAAGGGCTGGATTCATACTCCACCTGGCAGCAGCTGAGGAAAAGGGAGGGAGTGGGAATGAGGGAAGTAAAGGGCTCTTCTCCCCCAGGGGTGGAGAACTGAGCAGGAAGGGGAGGGCAATGTTGGAGCTCCCCTTTTTCTCTCCCTCTCTGGGGCAGCATTGGTGAGTTTACCATTGACAAAGGCACACAAATTATCATCAATTTGTGGGCACTGCATCACAATGAGAAGGAGTGGCACCAGCCGGACCAGTTCATGCCTGGTGAGTCCCTGTCCTACCCTGCTCCTGGGCCACACAGCCAGCCTGGACTCTGTGCTCCACCACCCCAGCACCCCTTCCCCTCTGCTTAGCTTTCTACTAGAAAACCTTGGCATCAACTACATGGACCTGTAGACATTCCCATCCTACCTCAGACTTACCCTAACTCCCACTGCTGGGTTTCCCACCTCCTCCCTCTACCAGCTGAAAATGTCCTCCTCTAACAAACCCCCTAGGCATATGTTTTCCCATTAAGTCTGCCCCTTACCCCTTGGACAGTGGCACTTGCATCTGTTAACGCTCCCTCCTTTCCATCCTTCCTGACCCTTTCATTTCCTTTGTGTGATTAAGGGCTACTTGAGAGCAGGGCTGCCTATCTCCTCAGGCTGGGGCTCCTGGGCAGGGCCATGTCTCCCCCTCCACCAGGGCAGAGGCACACCTCCCCTTATTCCTGCCCTGGCCCCTGGCTGATGCCTCCCCATGTCCACAGAGCGTTTCTTGGACCCAACGGGGAGCCAGCTTATCTCGCCAACATTGAGCTACTTGCCCTTTGGAGCGGGACCCCGCTCCTGCGTAGGTGAGATCCTCGCCCGCCAGGAGCTCTTCCTCTTCCTGTCCTGGGTGCTGCAGAGGTTTGACCTGGAGGTGCCAGATGATGGGCAGCTGCCCTCCCTGGAGGGCATCCCCAAGGTAGTTTTTCTGATTGACTCCTTCAAAGTGAAGATCAAGGTGCGCCAGGCCTGGAGGGAAGCCCACAGTGAGGGTAGTGCCTAGAGGCTGTGCCAAGTGCCCCATGACTTCACCCATTCCAGCCAGTAACTCTCTGCTGGCCTGCAGCATAGAATTAGAGTTGCTGCCCCCCACTCCTACCATCCCACCCTCCTCCCAGCCCACTCTGCCTTCTTTTCAGGATGTAGCACTGGTAGTGACATGCATAAATGAAACTCTTTTCAGAAGCTGAGTAGCTCATTCATTTGTTCACTCATTGTTTCAATAAACATTTTATTGAGCACCTACAATGTGCCACTCTCTGTTCCAGGACATTCAAGATCCCTGGTCTCATGAAACTTACATTCTAGTGAGGGCTGACAAATAAATAAGAATTTCAGAAACTGATAAGTGTTTTGAAGTCCATTGTACTGAGTGATGTGATAAGAGAATGGCCAGGGTGGGAGTGGCCACTTTAGATAGGTGGCTAGAGAAGGTGTGAAGACCAGGGCAAGTTCCACTCCTGAGGGAACAGCAATACCCAATGAGGTCAGAGTGGATACAGGGGTCAGGTCCCATGAGGCTTCTGTAAGCAGCAGGAAGGAGTTTGGGTTTTTATTCTAAGTATGATAGGAAGTCACTGGAGAGTTTTAAACAAATAAGTAAAATGGTCTGATTTATATTTTTAATAGATCACATTGGGTGCTGAGTGGTCTGTAGAGGAATGAGTGAGGGAGCAGGGGGAACAGTTAGAAGACCGTTGTGCTGGCCCAGGCGAGGGGGATCATAGTGGCTTAGACCATGGCAATGGCAGTGGAGGTGGTGAGAAGTTGGACTGAGTATGTATTTTGAAAGTAGAGCAATAGAGATTGTCTGTTTGATACAAACATGCATCACTGCATGTAACTCAAAGGTTTAGCTTTGGGAGAGTGTGTGTAACCCACAAACTTGACTCACCACTACCCATCCGCTGTCTTGGTCCTACAAAGACCAGCATGTCTCCTTTTCCTTCATCCCTCCTTAGGGTAAATACTGCCTGGCAAAGGGCTTCTACAGCTGCCTTCTGCTGAAGCGCCTGGGCTCTGCCGCTTCTCCCCACTCAAAACCCCAGGAAGTCTGCAAATGCCTCACTGGAAAATGGAGTCCAGGCTCCTTTAAACCAGCATCTTTCAACCTTGGCCACTGGCCAGTCTACAAGTGAAGGATGTCCTAAGATGCCCCAGTACAAACTCACCCTTGCCCTTTAGCCTAGAGAGAGGCCCCAATCCCAGATCCCTGGCGCCAGCCAGACCAGGGTCAGATCATCAACAACCCAATCCTTCCCTAATGACTGAGGGAGGGCTCTGCAAGGGTCAGCAGGGCAAGGCTGGGACCCTGCCTGGCCAAGTTTTTAGAAAGAGGAAATCAGGGGAGCTCCTACAAGGAGGGAGGGAAAAGGTTTTCAATGACAGATGTATCTTCTTCCTTTGTTAATACAGTCGTGGTAGGCCATTCCCTACTGTCCCTCCAACTGAGTCCTAGCCTTCACTGACCAGTGAACCAGGGAAGTTGCCCAAAAGTCCATAGGAGAGTTTACAGGCAGCTGTGGCTGAATCCAGCCCTCATCACCCGCAGCCTGGGAGAGATGCTCACACTACAGTAAGCTGACAGGAAAGGGTTAAGTGGAGGTTACTCCCTGTCCCTCTCCCAGGAATCTCTGTCCCCATCAGCCAGCTGCTGGGCTAGAGCCTGGCTATCATCAGCCCAAAACAGAGGGGAGAAAGACTTGCGAGAAGGGAGTGAAGTATTTCAAACTTGCTCAGAATTTGAAAGGCGTTTTGCAGACTAGTGATGAACAGATAAACAGTTAGTAGAAGGCCTGTGTTTTCCATAGAAGCTGTGCATGAGTTTAACTGGGATAAAAACACCCACCCTCCAACCACAGAAGCTGAACACTGAATGCTGGACAATTAGACCAATCCTTCATTTTGAACATGAGGAACCTGAGGGGCAGTGTGAGGGTGGGGGGAGGCGTGACTTGCCCCAAGTCACACAGCTACTTACATCAGGGCTAGGGCCCAAACCCAAGACTCCAGTGATGCAAGATGAGGAGCCAGCCCTTTTCCACCTGTCCCCTGTGACCATACAGAAGGCTTTCAGGCCGTCTGGGTCTGGCGGGGGAGAGAACACAGCTGAGTGTTCTTTCAGGAAATAACCTCACGATCTTTAACTCCTGCCTGAACTCCGCTCTTGCTGGCCTGGAAGCCCCTTTCCCCCTGATCTAAAATCCTCCCATCCTTGAGCTCAGAGTGACAGCCCTTCTCCGGGACAGAACCCATGACTCCCAGCCCACTGGGATTGTCCCCTTTTACTACTCAGCTTCTGTTCCTTGGTACTGAATCCCATGCACACATGAACATCTGCCTAGGACTGAAATGGGTTTGGTGTCCCTCAGGGACACTGTCCACCCGTCTATCTCTGGGGTTCAAGGCTGGGCCCTGCCTCAGACTGCCCTTAACCAGTGGTGTGACAACAAATAGCACTCTGGGGGGTGGAAGTGGAGGTGCCAATAGCCCTGATCTACAGTGTTTGCTGATTTCCACGTTGTAAATATTCCCACCAGGATCAATTTCAAGCTACCAATGTGAGGTCACTGAACGCAGGATGGGGAAGAAATGAGTAGCAACAGTATATATTAACATTACATATTAGTTATCATTATATAGCAAATGAAGCCCTGGTGGCACATTGGTTAAGAGCTCAGGCTGCCAACCAAAAGAGTTTGTCTTTTAATAACAAATACCATTATATAGTATTTCCACCATACAAATAAAACCCCAAGACCAAACTGTTTTGGTTAGCAGGCTGAGCTCTTAACCACTATGCCACCAGGGCTCCACCATTCAAATACAAAGGTGTAAATAGCCCCAAGGGCATAGCTAACAGTAATATGTAGTAAAATAATTAGGAAACAATGACAATGCTTTTAATAAAATTTATTTAATAATGTTTATATGATTTAATTTATAATAACGGTCATGTTTAATAAGCAAGCTCACGAGATTCCTGAAAATGTAATATCAGCTCTTGTACAGGGTAAGAGCTGGCTCTCCCGGGAGGAAAAAAAAAAAAAAAAGCTGTTCTTCCCCAGTCTCCCCTCTGGGTGGAGGGGAAGCTCTACCCTAGTAACCTTGGTGTGGAGTGGGGGGGGGGGTGAATGTTCTGGTTGACTCCCAGTGGCCACAAAACCCAAAGCAAGGGAGCAAGCCTTTCTTCAGTCACACTCATCGGTATCAACACCAGGGGAAGAGGAATCCAGTCAGAGGCCACAGGATGGGGTGGGAAGAATACTGGATGAGGAGGAACTGAGACCCAGGTTCTAGTCCCCTGGCTCCCCAGTTTCTCAGCCCTGGGATCTCAGACCCATGGCTAACTTCCTGAGCCTGTTTTGTAAGGTGGGGATAACTTACCACCTGCACTGCCCATTGTCTGAGGCTCTGGTGAGGATGAAAGGCAAAACAGCTGTGTGAGCAGGAGAGGCACCGTGGGATTCATAGAAGGCAGTGGGTTCCCACTCAGACTGCAGAGCCAAATTCTCCTAGTGTTGTTATTTACAAACCGGATGACCTCGGGCAAGTTACTTGGCCTTCTCATATCTCAGTTTTCTCATCTGTAATATGAGGGGAGGGTGCTGAGGTGCGTGCAGTAGTGGCAACTACCTCAGTGCTGCTTATGGGGATGAAATATGAACCTATGCAATACATTAACAAAGAAAACAACCAAACCCGTTGCCGTCGAGTCGATTCCAACTCATAGTGACCCTATAGGACAGAAAAGAACTGCCCCACAGAGTTTCCAAGGAGTAACCGGTAGATTTGAACTGCTGACATTTTGGTTAGCAGCTGTAGCACTTAACCACTATGCCACCAGGGTTTCAATGAATATTGACTTTATTATCATTGCCTATATCCAAATCCAAGGAGCCCTGGTGGCACAGTGGTTGTTTGGCTGCTAACCAAAAGGTCGGTTGTTTGAACCCACCAGCCACTCGATGGCAGAAAGATGTGGCAGTCTGCTTCCGTAAAGATTACAGCCTTGGGAACTCTATGGGGCAGTTCTACTCTGTCCTATAGGATCGCTGAGTCTGAACTGACTTGACAGCAACGGATTATATACAAATCCACAAAATAAGTCCTTCCCTAAGGGTTTTACACAAACCTCCCAAAGGCAACCAGCTTGGTCAGGAAGGGGAGGTGGTGTGTGTAGACATGTCCACCCCCAGGACGGGACATTCAGGAACCCACCCTCAAAGCTCGATGGCCCTGCAGGCCCACCCGCAGCCCCTGGCTTGCTGCCCCGCTCTTTCCCTTCCTAGCTGGGGCAGGCTGACAGCTGGGAAGTGGGTGGAGATCCCAAAGACAAACTCTTTCCATGGCTCCAACACAGAGAGTGTTTTGTAACATTTTCCAGTGGGACTGGGTTTCTTGAGACATCTTGGTGGTGAGAAAACATGAAATGGAAGGAAGATTATAAACTATGGTGAGGAGCACACTTACGCAGAATGAGGAGAAATATCAGATTAAAAAAAAAATCCTCTTTTCCCCCTCACAAACCACTGAAAGCTCTATTTTTATCTCCTCTGAGCAAGAGCAAAACATTCTTTCAAGGAAAAGATACAAAGAAAATCCAAATAGCTTTAACTCCTGAGAATTTTACAATGTTTCCAAGGGGTCACACCCTTCCTGTTTGAAGTTAACACTGAAGACTTGTTGCAGGCACCACCCATCCCACGCCTGAGGCCATTTCAGCACTTAGGGGCTCTTACAGGTGAAGCAGTGGTTGAGAGCTATGGTGCACTAAGGCTGCTAACTAAAAGGTCGGCAGTTGGAATCCATAGCTGCTCCTTGAAAACCCTATGGAACAGTTCTACTCTGTTCTATGAGTTGGAATCGACTGGACGGCAACAGGTTTTTTTTTTTTTTTTAAATAGGTGAAGCCTGGCTGGGCACCAGGGCCTCTGGGAAGCTTATGATATAGGCAAGGGGGGAAAGGGAAAAGGGGTTAGAGAAGCTCTTGAGGAAATGGTGTCTGGTTCATCTTTAGCCATGTCACTCCCTCCTGTCCTTTCTCCAGCTCCCTATTACCTTTGAAAGAAATTTCTTCACATGGCTTGTGTCAACATTACATCTTTTCATAGTATGGCCTGCTAGTTAAGGGCTTTGAAGCCAACTGATCTGGGTTCAAGTCCTGACTACCACTTTATTAGCTGTGTGATGTTGGACTAGTTAACTCTTCTGAATGCCTCGGCCCTATTAATAAAACAGGGATAATTAGTTTGTACTTCAGAGGGGCGTTTTGAGGCTAAAATAAGAAAATGTAGGTAAGATGCTTAGACAAGACCTGGCATGACATAAGCAGTCAACAAATAGAACAATGAAGACAAATTCAGTTGAAATCTTTTTATTACCAGCTTACCTCTCCAGCTTCATCTCCAGCAGCTTCCCAGAATGCAATTATCTAGAAAGATTCAATTGCTCGAAGTTTTAGAAACAACCTACACTCTCTCCCATCTTAGGCCCCCTATGCTTTTTTGTGCGTTTCAGCATCTGGCACATAGTAGGCATTCAATAATCTGCTGAATGAACATTTGACTAGAATTTCTTCTGCACCCTTCTTCACCTGGCAAGCTCAGTTTGGAGTTAACTCCTCCAGGAAGCCTGCCCTGAACTCCTAGTTTGGGCTGAATACTCTTCCACAGCATTCTGTGCACACAGTAAGCGTGGTACCAAAACTGTTAATGTGCCTTTCTTCCTCCCTTAACCATTAGCTCTTCTAAAGGGGAGCCAGGTATGTCATATTTGCATTCCCAATGCCTGGCACATGGCAGGTGCTCGATAAATGTTCAGTTCTTAAGTACAGCCGGTTACTTGCCCCCAGGCTGGAAGCCCATATCCAAACACCTCCCAAGACTCATAGCCCTTCCCAGCAGGTTCAGCAAGAAGCCAAACAACACTCAGCCAAACCCACTTCCCGCTCCAGCTCCTCCTCCTGGGTCAGACCCGGGTTTCCTCCCCACCCCACCCCATTGGCTGAAAACAGGAAAAACTGGAAAACAGAGTTTCTCGAAAATTTGTGCTTCAGGACATTGGTACTATTTCAATCAGAATGTGGTCACCTGGGGCAACGGAGACAGCCAATGGCATACCTCATTAGAGAAATCAGGAACCCAGTGACCCAGAAGTCAGGGATACAATGAAGGGGGGCCTATAAACCTAGGTATCAAGGTACATGCAGTCTTCTGGTGACCAGCCCATAGGAGCTGCACCATTTTGTTTTTGTATCCCTCAGACACTAGTGTAAAAGAGGAGGCAGGAATGTATTCCCCAGTTCTTTACTGTGGTTCCTGTCCCTAGAGGCTAATATGGCTCCACTGGGGTAGCCTGGGAAAGCCTACCAGTTTAGAAGGAACTAGGCAGCTACCATCCCACTAGAGTCATTTAAGGGCAGGGACAGTGTCCTTTGTTCCAAGGGCAAAGATGTGCGGGGTGGGGAGGGTAAGCCTGGCTTACAATGGACTCTCAGAAATAATGCCAGCATGCCCCAGCCCAGTCCACCAGTGGGGGCTCCCTTTGGGGAGGCAGGAACCCCTTTTGGGATGAGAGGAGTTAGCAGGATGCCCACCATCTTGCTTTGCCCACCTGCAGATGTCCCAAAGAGAAGTCTTGTTGGGGAGGGGCAGCAGGCTGTTCCATCCCATGGTCTTCAAAAAGGGACTTACACCTGACTCAGGAAGCACTCTTAGTTCTAGGAGGATGGTCTTAAGCAGAGAGTAAATGAGCGAAGGAACACCCATGGCCTTCGGAAAGAACCACTGGCCCATGATGCCAGACACTGGCAGACCAGTGGCTCCCCCACTGCCTAAGAATCAAGACCTCAAACTTCAACATTCTCCAGATCTGCACCACTCACTCACTTCATCTCAACCCACTTTATACTGTTAATTACTATCTTCCCCCAAGTAGGCTATGTCTTCCTAACTATATCTTCTGGAGGGCAGGGACCTTGTCTTGTATGTTTCTTTTGCTTTACTCTATCATCCAGCACAGTGCTGAGCACAAAGTGGGGACACAATACCTAGTTTGTGTACTAAATTCCAAGGCTAAGCACTCACCCACACTTCCACCTGATCAACAAAATACCTCTCAGGAGTGCTTGCTTCCTTTAAATAAGTGTCATGTTTTAGCTACAGGATATCTGACAGAGTATCTGCTTTTAGGGGGTCTGATTTTAACCTATTTCTGGGAATTCACAAAGTATTACAAACATCGGATTACATCCTTGACAAGAGAGAGGGTTTGGGGGAAAAATCTCTCAGGACAAAGTGAGGACTCAGCAGCAGTACTGCCCAGCCTGCCCTCGCCTTGTGGTGCCTGTTTGGCTGAAGATCCTGTTCTCAACTGCTATGTGACTTCTCTGTCTCTGTGGAGAAGGAAAAGCACTTGTGGTTTGGGACCCAGAGGTGCAACTCCCTGAAGTCTGAGAAAGAGGAGAAAAGGAATAAAGTACTGCAAGAAAAAAAGAGCAGTAGCATTTTTGGGATCAATTTTTATTTGGGCTTCTCACAGTGGTTAGAGCCACTCTGTCTTCAGAACAATCACAGAACAGGAAATGCGGCACTGAGACTGCCCAGAAAAGTCTGACCAGCTGAATCTTATTGCTTAAAATACACATATTCACAATAACTGACAAACGGGGATGTGCCTCACACAGGAATGTGTTAGCATTTGCAAATCTTCCAACTGTAGCACCAAACCCTCGACCAACCCCTTCCTTCTCATCCACCTGGAAAACCAGCTGCAGTCAAATCTCCCTGGCCCCCTAACTATTCTGTTGACTCTCTAGTTCATCTCTCTCCAAGCAGGGTAGCCTCCGTGGCAGGGGCCAGACTGTGACCGCTGGAACCAAGCCCAGTTCTACCAGTTGCATTTTCTTCTTCTCATGCCTTTAGGGTAGGATGCTGCAGCGAACCCAACAGTTAGCACTCAGGCCAGTCCCCCATTCAAACTGGGGGAGGAAAGTTTGAGAGGGCCAGAAATCATCCATTTGATCAGTTAACTGAAGAAGGATTTGTTTTGGTAAAACTTGTGCTCCTTTGAGACACTTCAGTGAGTTGTTTGGGATTTAAAAAACACAAAGGTGGAAGGAAAGGCATCTGAGGGCTGCTGATGCACTCTGGCCACATAGCGGCTTGCACGTTGGACCTCAGCAGAGGGAGGTATGCCCTGTGGCGCTGTGGCATCTGCCAAACCCTCCTGGCAATTCTGGGCAGGGCTGACGTCTGGGCAGCAGCTAGTCCAAGCTTGTCACTGAAGATCCAACCAAGCTTCTGTCTTAAATTCCACCTTCACCTTCTGTCCCAAGTGGTTGTGGACACCAGCCAGGGGGCTGGTACTGAGGGCCAGGAGCAGCCGAGGGAGGCAGACATGTTCAGAACATGTTTCCACTTGCAGGGGACAAAACACAGGCCTCCGAGCATCCACGGAGCAATGTGCAAATTGCAGTGATGGGTAGAGTAAAACCTCTACTTAGAGCACAGTATCTCTGGCAAACACAGGGAACTGCCATTGACGATGCCACTGAATACACCCGAGTACACAGTCAGACATTTGCTCAGTAAACAGTAAATGCGTAAAATAAATTACCTTGAGAGGGCCATATTTGCTCCAAGCGTTGTGGTTAACACGAGCAGAATGGCTGCTTCAAAGTATATTCACAGGAAAACAGGGCTTGGGGCTCACACACAATGGACAGACACACACAGGTTATCCAAAAAGTCACTGTATTTGGACTTCACTTTGTTCAATGTGGATTTTGGTTTTGTGGAATCCAAACGCAGACACTTGTTTGCCTCACAGCCTTGGATTTGTCTATTTATATATATTTATATATTTTTTTCCTTTCTTACCATAACATCAATGCCTAGTCAGAATATCATCATTCAAGAGTTGGGGAAGAACCAAACTCTTCGTATCAACAGCACTGGAAGGGGAATGTTAGTTTTGGCTGTTTGCACTCTTCATTCAGATTATTCCTATCAAAGCTCAACTGGTGATCTGAGGCCCAAACTACAGTAATAAGGATCCTGCAGTCCTTCAGGACGGCTGCCTTCACCCTCCTACATGGGCCACTTAGACTCTCTACATAGGCGACAGACAAATCAGTCATCCCATTCAAAAAAAGGGGGGTGGTGGAGGGGCATAACAACCACAGATAACCAAGGTATTTCTTTCAAGTGGTCAGTTTTAAAAAAAGAAGAAAAAACAAAAACAAAAAAACCCCAAAATTCAAAATCAAAGAGAAAATACTGTGTGAGAGCCAGACTATGGGGCTGCCCACAGCCTCCTCAGTCCATTTGTTCACAAACAACAGTGAGACATGAAGGCCTGCGTGCTTGGGATGGGGGACAGTGCTGGTCACCTGTGGCCACAGACAAAGGGGCAGAGATGCAGAAGCCACACCTCTATCCACTGTCACGGCTTGAAGCCTCCTGCTCACCCACAGAAGTTCCAGAGATCACCCCCACCCAGGCCTTCACACAAAACATCTCCTTCTGGCTCAACTCTAGCCAGGCTCTTTGAAGGCAACTTGGGAAAGAGTCCAAACTTCTCTTTTCCAGAATAGAATTCTTGCCTGTCCATCAGGAAGGTTCTTCTTTTTAGCTCGCTTTTGTTGTTTGCTTTTAAAAGAAAAACCAAAGAGAAGGCAGTACAACCCTTCATGCCTGAACCAGTCCACAGCCAGCCAAAGCCTGCTTGGGGGCCCCTCAAGGACTCATGGTGGTGCATCAACCTGGTCACCTGGCATGTGACAGATGAATGAGCCCCCTACAAACCTACGACACAAGTGCCCATCAGCTCTCAACCTCCCAGAGGATTAATCCAGTTCTAGCTCTGCAGACACTGGCAGCCAGGGGTGACCGTCCCTGGGCCTCTGTGGGTGACTGAGACCTGTCTCCTCTCCCGGACGGAGAGGTTTTCTCACTCTAAAACCAGAGAATAAATCCACTCCACCACCAAGGATCATCCCAGGGCACAGTCCCAGCCCCCTTCCTTGGGGGCTTTTAAAACATACATTTCTCTGACCCAAGCAGGTTGGTGAGGGAGGACTTGAAAAGGGGGGAAAAAGGGAGTGGGGGTGGGGTGTGAGGAACAAGTCACAGAACCAACTTCTCAGCCCTCCACAACACTGTGCTTTTGTGGGGGAAAGGCATCCACACCCCAAACTGTACCTGGAGATGCAGGAAAATGCAGGGGCGGGGGAGGAAAAAAAGAAGAAAGTGGCTGTACCACTTTCTCTGAAAGTCGTTAATGCTTCTCTTGTGGTTCTTCCCTCCCCTGGTTGCTCTGCCAAGTTCTCGGGTGCAGCAGGGCCTGCTCTAGCTGGGGGTGCTGCTGCTCTGGGAGTTGGGGGAGTCCTGCTCATTGATGGTGTTCAGCAGCAGGCAGGCGGGCGGCTGCGGCAGGTGGGGGTGGCTGGGCTCTCGGGCCTGCTCCTCGGAGGGTCGGTAGAGCCCTTCCTCCTCGTCGCCTGTGGGCCGTACGTGGCAGCTGTCGCAGAAGTCCAGGGGCCCGTCCAGAGCGTCATCAATGAGCGTGTTGAACTCTTTGAGGTCGTCATCATGGCCCCGGTTGCACACACACACTTCAATACCCGAGTCACCCGTGAAGCGCCGATGTCTGCCGGGTGTCTTGTCTTTGTTGTCGGGGAGGGCGCTGCCATGCTCGGAGCTGTACTCTCTCAGCAGCTCCTCCTTACATTCTGAATCCTTGTCCAGGAAGGAGCCTGGGTCCAGTTCCCCCAGGCCGGCCACGGAACTGCTGGGCTCCATTCCAGGGGCTTTGGTGGCTGCTCTGTCAGCTGGCACGTCGCAGGGCTCAGGGTCGGCAATGCTTGGGGGTCTCGTGCTGCTTCTGCTGGGCCCAGACAAGGGGCTGCTCTGCGTCCCCTGGGGGCCCCTGGTGGGATTGGCGCCCAGGGGGCTGCCGCCTGCAGGGCCACACTGTGGAGGCAGCTGCTGCTGCTGTAGCTGGAAGGCACTGTATGGTGGGGGAGGAGTTGGAGGTCGGTTCACCACTTCCTCATAAGGAGGTAGTAAATAGTTTGGCAAAAACCCTAAAATGGGGAGGTAGGGAGGAGAGATTACTGTGCTGGCAATTGTTCTAGGACAGACTGCAAAGCTCACACTAAACGCAGGCACTGTCTCTTCCCACCCCCTCACATACCCGCCAAGTGACAGCTACAGCTCCTGACTCTGGGCAGGGGAGAGGGCTGTAAGCAATCTTGCAGAGAAAGAGGGACAGGTTCGGAGTGACCTAATCCATCTTCTTGAAATCAGAGAGCCCCTAAAGCTGATTCATAGGCCAGGACTTCCTGCCTGTCTGGGAGTTAAGGCAGAGGGTATGCAAATGTGGGAGAGGTCAAGAAATAATTTCTGCCTGGAACAGACCTGTTTCCACCTGCACATAAACCTCACGTTTCTTGTTCAGACTGTCCTCCATCTGAGCCCATAAGGCCTCAGGGTCAAGACTTCCTGGCCACTTGTTCCCTCCCTCTACCCCCTCCAGATGTACCATGAAGAGGGCCTGTTGCCGGGACATTAGAAACCTGTGTTGTCTTTCACTCTAGTGTGGCTGAAGAAGGTCTGGAAAGACGAACTACACCTCACCCTGACTCAGATCAAGGGGGGATGGCTTCCAGCGGGGGGTGAGGGGGGAAGCCTCTGCCACCCAAGGCTTACTAAGAACATGCCAGGTGAGTTCTGTTTTTAATGTGGTGAATGCCTTAAGGCACAGATGATCTATTCATAATGCAACAATAATTGCTAGCATTTATTGAGCACTTACTATATGCCAGGCACTGTGCTAAGCACTTCATCCCTTCTAGATGTGGAATCCAAGTAATTATGACCATTTTATTTTGTAAAACACACTGCAGAATAGCTTTGGACAAGCTACACAGCTGGGCCAGCACTGGCCATTTGAGAGGACGTGTGTAAGGAAGCCCGAACAGGTCAGGTGAACGCTCTTCAGTGAGTCCCCAAATTCCTTAGTTCTCAGGAAGTCCCAGTGGTACCCACCACACCTGCCCCTCATGGCAGTCTCTGCTCAGGCATATTACATGGCAGTAAGCAAAATGGGAGCACTCAGGCCACTCAACTCCAAATCTTGATTCACTCACATTATACGTCATCTGACTACCTGCCTTTTAAAATAAATCTGCTAAAGGAGCAGAGACCTGGCCAGACCCAGCCACTGGGAGATTCAGAATTGCCCAGTGGCTTCAGGGAGCTATATCCATACACCTGTTCCTCTGTGCTAAAGGTGAACATCTCCTTGTTCCCATACTAGCCAGACCCTGCTCTGTCCTGGGCAAGAGGGATAAACACCCCTGCCCTTGGTGCCCTGGCCCTGGCCCCCGGTGCAGTTTGGGCCCTGTATCTGTGCACCCAGGTTACTGAGGGCAGGGTATGGCTGCTTTTGGTGTACGTACTGAAATAAAATGGCAGCGCTGAATAATTGTGGGCTTCCCGGTAGGCGATCAGGTTGATTTCATGTTGCCGCTGCTGGGCCTGAAGGCGGTGTTTGGCTCGGCGGTGGTGGCAGACGCAGCAGCAGCTCAGGATGATGATGATGGTCCACACTAGCCAGAACCCTGGGGGGTGGAAGGGTGAGACAGAGAGGCACGCACACCCAGTGAGTACCAGTGAGAGGAGGTACCTTTTCAAACAAGAAGGTCCTGCGACAGCAACCATGTGGTTCAAAGTGGCACTGTCACGCTGCTGGGTGCACAGGTGTGCCATACTATAACTGCCCCCTCACCATCTCCCGAGATGCTAATAGACATAAGAGCTACTAATGGACACAAAGTATGTGCCTCAGGGGGAGATGATCGCCCTCTGAAGAAACCCAGAACTCTGTTAAGCTATCTTAGTGGGGTAAAGGAGGAAAGGCTGCTCTTGATGCCAGTAAAATCTAGAATAGCCATCAGGAGATGATTACCCACCTTAAACAGGGACAAAAGATGATGTCCATTGCCTGCAGGGGGCCTTCCATTTTTATTATCCCCTTTTATCTTTTATTACTCCATTTTACTACCCCTCCTCTACCTGGTCCCTAAACATGCTATTTGGCACACAGACATAGCTGTCCTATTAGTATTTAACCCCAGGAGAGAGAAACCTAGGCATTCTCGTCCCAAGACACAAGGTTGGGTATGCCTGAATGCGATCTAACATCACCCTGGGGCGGGAGCCTAACTTCGCGGAACCTTGGCTGATGATGATGTATGCTGTTCCACTCATCCCTGTCCTATTTATTCTGTGAGCATTAATACCTGTTGACCACGCCATTAGAAGAGTCTCTGGTCTGTGCTCTGCTCCAAACGGTCTTCACTAAGAATTTGTGAACACAGTGTAATGCACATGTCTCACCCAGTGAAATTACATTTAGAATATGTACTTAATTTTCACAGAGTTATGCAGCAGACTGAAAGACATGTGGGATGGAAGAGGGAAGGAATGCCAAAATTGACAGCAAAAGAGATCATTCACTTCAGGGAGCCTCCAGGGACCTTGTGGGGAAGGCAAGTGCCAAGTCAACTCTCCAGCACCATTGGTCCTCCTGTATTTTAGGTTTGTGGGTATTAAATATGCCCACTTTCTAGCACAGCATACTCTTCCTCTCTTAAGAGATCTCTGAAAAAATGCTGCAGGCTTTCTTGGTGCTCATCTCCCTCACTGCCCTGCTCAAGCCCCTCAGGGCAGCTACCAGGCTCACTTCTTGCTATGAACACAGTGGCTGATTCACCAAAAACAGAAAGCACACCTCAAGATCCCCACAACTCAGAATATTAGCAATTGCAAGGGGCCTTGGAGGTGTCTTCTAATAAAAGAATTCTCAGGGTTCTCCTGGTCTCATCAAAAAGATTAGGGGCTTTTTTAGTGACAAGAGTCACTAAAGTTAAAGGTGGAAAAATTCTAATTGCCTCAGATCCAACTCTTCCCTAGAGAATGTAAATGACTTCCTCTGCTCTTCATATAATCTGGTACAATTCCACCTCCCACTGTCACAAACAATCTATGCCCATCTCACTTTGGTGTGGGTTGCATTAGACGCAAGGCCATTAGCAGCCTCCCTTTCTTCCTCCCTGATCCAGGGAGGGGTAGAGGAACAGGGGAGATGGCCCAAAGCCCTCTCTTCTCTGTGTGAATCTTTTGTTCTCATTCCTGACTGTATTGTTTCTTAGATCATACTTAGAGATTCTCAGAGAGGGCAAATATAATACCCTCTCATCCATCTCTTCAAATGTAAGCAGAAAAGTCATACATATATATATATATATATATATATATATAATATTAATTAAAGAACATCCAGAAAGCTCTAATAAAAAAGATCATCCCAAGTCTCCTCACTTTGGTAGCGGTGGGATAGGTAAGATGAGAACAATCCCAAAAAAGTCCTACTTCAGACTTTAAAACCTTACCAGACATAAAGATATAGCTAGTAATAATGTGTTCAAAGAATAGGTAATGACACGGGGAAATGTTTACAATATGTGAAGTGCATACACAAGATATACGAAGCCCTGGAAGTGCAACTGCTAAGCACGAGGCTAAGGGAGAAAGACCTGACAATCTGCTTCCATAAAGATAACAGCGTAGAAAACCCTATGGCGCAGTACTACTCTGTCACATGAGGTCATCATGAGTCAGAATCGACTCAATGGCACCCAACATATATATATATATACACACACACACACACAAAGAATGAAAGGAAAAACACAAAAACAATGACTTATCTTTAGTAGGATCATGAGAAATTTTAATTTTCTTCTCTAGATTATTTTCTTTCAAACTATGAAACTAAAAACAAATTAAGAATTTTATAGGGACAACGCTAGGAACCCTAATACGTGGCATAAACACAATACAAACCATAAGTAACAATGCACAAGCACCAAGAGAGACTAGATACATGGGAGCTCCTAAAAATCAAACACTTACGCTCATCAAAAGACTTCACCAAGAGTAAAAAGACAACCTACAGACTGGGAAAAAATTTTTGGCTACGACAAATCCGATCAGTGTCTAATCTCTAAAATCTACAAGATACTGCAAAACCTCAACAACAAAAAGACAAATAACCCAATTAAAAAATGGGCAAACGATATGAATAGGCACTTCACCAGAGAAGATACTCAGGCAGCTAACAGACACATGAAGAAATGCTCACGATCATTAGCCATTAGAGAAATGCAGATCAAAAGTACAATGAGGTATCATCTCACCCCAACAAGGCTAGCATTAATCCAAAAAGCACACAATAATAAATGCTGGAAAGGTTGTGGAGAGACCGGCACACTTACACACTGTTGGCGGGAATGTAAAATGGTATAATCACTTTGGAAATCGATTTGGCGCTTCCTTAAAAAGCTAGAAATAGAAGTACCATACGATCCAGCTACCCCGCTCCTTGGAATATATCCTAGAGAAATAAGAGATGTCACATGAATAGATATATGCACACTCATGTTCATTGCAGCACTGTTCACAAAAGCAAAAAGATGGAAACATGCCCATCAACGGAAGAATGGATAAACAAATTATGGTATATCCACACAATGGAATACTACGCAACGATAAAGAACAACGATGAAGCCGTGAAACATAACATGGAGGAAGCTGGAGGTCATT